TTTTAGTCCGATAAAATTTAGTATACAACAAAAATATCGCTGTAATACAGAAGAAACCTCGGAAGAAACCGTAAAAATGGCTGATTCTGATTGATTCTAGAGACCAAGAGTGGAATAGTCATATGTAATACCACAAGTGATACAAGTTTGCCAGAAATATTCGGCGATTGTTACCGACAGCTTGTTGCGAATGACATTATGTTTATCAAAACTTTCGAGCCGTATGCGAGAAGTTTTGAATCAATGTCATGAGCGAAATTAAAGCAGCAAGCTGGAGTGTCGCGAGTTGTATTCGTATGAATATTTCATGATTGAGACAATAAACGAGCGCCTCGGGAGAATAGCTTCCATCATTCTGGCTTCCACCATAATTGACGTTATAAACGTCAAAAATTGTATCGCTTAAAAACGAGGTTGGTTGGTCAGGTATCAATTTTAGTAAACAAAAAATATCGCTGGAATACAGGAGAATGGTCAAAAGCATATTTCATCTCGTAAAATTATAGAAATTTTGCCTTTTCCTGGACACGTTATTTTTTTTGGGGGGAATGAAAGGAAACGCTTCATTGTAAAAAATATCATTTTATTATTATCCATAGGATATTAAATTTAAATTGCCATCCGGAATGTATATGGATGATTGGCCGTCAATTTCCAATGGCTTTGACGTGTTTACGATCTGATACATTATGGTCTGTTCATAGAAATTATTCAAATTCAAGAAATATTCAATTTTAACTTAACAGGTATACTCCCCCTGAAAAATTGACTATATTATTAAATATACAGGGTGTTTCAAAAAAACCTAACCCCCTTGCTAGGGTAAGTAGAACATTCTTGTGATTCATTGTTAAATCAATGAGTTTTGCATTAGAAATGTATTGTTGTTTTCGGTTTTCAATAAATTGGTGATAATTTTTCATAATACTCACTCTAATACATAGCTTTATACCAGCAACAGTTACCACTTCATCATTTTCAAATCGAAATATTCCGAAAACGGAACACAGTATCGAGTTTTACCAAGAGTACCTTTTTGGTGTCAAATTGATTGATGTTCAAGTTCAAGTTCAAGTGATGCCCTCTTTGAGAGTAAGATATAAAAACAAATGCATGCGATGTGTCAGATTCCAAGAAACATCCATACAAAATTTCATCACGATGTTGCCAGTAGTTTCAACATAATCGTGAAAAATGTGTAAAAAAAATATTGTTTCAACACCTTGTATCTTGAAAACGGATGAAGTTGAATGAGATTATATTAAACGCGGCAAAGTGGAATAAGTATAATGCTTGAACTGGACACTTTGGCGGAAAAACTGCAATAAACTATGATGGGTGGGAAAGGACTGAAAGGAGCATATCATAATTTCCTAGAATAAATAGTTATTTATTATACAAGGGAAAAAAGTAGTAGATTTTAGCTCCAGGTTGTGTTGTCTCCCGACGCGTAGCGGAGGGAGACAATAAACCGTGAGCTAAAATCTAATATTTTTCCCGTGTATAATACACTATTTTTTTCTGTGACAGAAGGAAGGACGAATCCATATTGGAAAGATATTACATTATTTCGGAATCTGAAAATTATCAACGTGAAATTTCAAGTTTTTAACAGTAGGGACACCTGCGTTTTATAGGCATCTTTATCATTCTTTTGAAGTAATCAAATATCTGATGTCACTTCTGTCAGTTCAATTCTGTGATTTGATTTTAAAAAATTGCGAATTCAGTAGTTGTTTAGTAATATACGAAACCGCAAAATCGAATGGAAGATAAAAGGACTTGCAGTTCTTTCTCGGAGACGGTATTATTGACTCATTTTTCGGAACTATAGCACAACAAAAGCCATTAACAGAGTATATATATGTGATATATATCCGGGAAAGAAGTACTCACTTTTTTCCCACGGGAAAAAAGTAATTTATGAAAAGTGACGTTTTATAACCTGCCAACAGAGATGAAATGCCAAACTTTTTTTCCGTCACAGAAAAAACAAATTTTGAAATGGTTGACGAATTGTTAGCTTGAACATAGATATCACTCATTTTATATCAATCAATCAAACTGTACATTATTGTCGAAGATAAAATCTCATTGACGAAGTGGTCCTATTCTGAGAAATATACGATATAAAAATGTAACGATAAAATTTTACGATAAGAGACTACTTGGTAATTTCATAACTATTGAAAAAGCAGTAATATACGTTACATTTTCACATAATAGTAGTTTATAACCACATGGATGTACATGCAAAAATATGAACTATGATGCCTGAAAATAATAAAACCAGAATGCATAGAAAATAAAAAGTAAAAATGTGTACCTACCTAATTTGTAAACATTTTCAAACTGTACAGTTCCAAGTCAGAATATGTACATCAAAATACCGTCAAAATAGTTAAATTAGTTGATATAGTCACACAGTTTAAATACATATTATATACATAATAAAACAGAAAAAAATAATATTAGTTATTTATAAAGTTGTCATTTGTGTCTGAATGGAATTCATCTAAAGAATAATAGACCTCTGATAACAGGTGCATTTTCACGGACTTTCAAAATTTAGTGGAACATGTTTAGTCTTCAACCTCAATGATTGGCAAATGATTAAACTTTTTTTCCGTTATACCTAAAAGACCTTTCAATTTCTAATGATATTGGGATCGATAAACTTATATTGAGATAATCTCTCGTATTTCGTCGAGCTAAACTGAACATTTCACTCTAATATTTTTTTTTTGCATTAGGCCTACCATATCCAAAATAAGTGTGGAAGGCAAGGTCAAAATATCATGTCTTATGAATAGAGGTCGACAGGAATCTCTGAAAGTAGTTCTAAACATATTTCTGACTCCTTTTTTGTATATTAGAAGAGGCTCTGGTTCCCACGTAATTTCTAAACCATAGATTAAACAAAATCGTTCATCCAATTTACTGGATTTCACGTCTATGAAGTAGGATGATTACAAATTCAGGCAATCAAATGTGCAGAAGTTGCCTTGCGTGGTGAGGCATGGGAATGCTTACTGCATACTTTTGTTTTGAGCATATTTTCACATCCTACTACCACCTACTTTTTTCTTTCTTGCTATTTCAATGATGTTTCCTCTCAGAATCAAATATGCGCGAAACGTTCGGTTCGAGCACATCTGTAGACTTATTGCTAACAAATTGGAATTTACCTAAATTGATAATTACCTAGGGTAACACTTACCCAACCACACCAAAAAGAGAAGTGTTTTTGTCAAGCAAAATACTGATGAGAATAGTGTTTTTTCTTCATACGCAGGATTCCTAGTGCTCTTATAGTTCGACAGATCCACATATATACTGGGTGTTATCTAATTAAGTGCCGATAGAAGAAAAGTTTATATCATAAATCTTAATCCTCTTACTTTTTGAGCTACAAGGTGTTGAACTTTTGAGAGAAAAGTGAGTTTTCTATCATAATTTTTTATAACTCTCACATTGTCATCATCAAGGAGCATTTTTGACGTGAAATATTTTTAAAAATTTTCACCAGTGACGTCGGTACGGGGTTTAAACTGATAATTTTTTGAGAAAATCATGGTACGCCACTGATTTTCCTGAAAACCAAAATTATTTTTGAGATATCCATTCATTTTGGAGAAAATTTGGTTGCTAGACTTAATTTCATACGACGTACCGTTTTCGCATAAAGAAATAAAAACCAAAAGATGTTTTTTCTTCAGTTCATTCAGATTGTTTTTGGTATTTTGTTAAAATTGAGTAGGCACCCACTATGAGCGGGTTGGGACGAACATAATTTTTCCTATTTTACCAGTTATGTTCAGAAAGGCCTGATATTGAATGTTTTGATTTTAAAAAACTACACCTCTGATTTTAACACCCTGTAGCTCAAAAACCAGCAGGTTTATATCTTGATGTAAACTTTTCTTTTCAAAATCACCCGAGGATTCCCACCTTGTATTATTGGCACTCAAATAATTAACACTCTGTACATATGAGGAACAGACATGAAAATTATAGGGATGAAGTCGAATCAGACGATTTTTTTCTGAATCGGATGGGAAGCTGGAAGTCAAGGATAAATGATATGAAACGAGATGAAGAACGATAAACAGAATGATGCAAACTAATTTAACCCTATATTATTATCGTGCGAAGATGAGCTGATGGATTCTGATCAGTTATCGATTCCTTTTTTATTTCGATTTTCCTCATATCGTTTTTGTCATTTTGATCCATTGACTATCAATAGTTATTTATTATACAAGGAAAAAAAGTAGTAGATTATAGCTCCAGGTTGTGTTGTCTCCCGACGCGGAGGGAGACAAAAAACCGTGAGCTAAAATCTAATATTTTTCCCGTGTATAATACACTATTTTTTTCTGTGACTGAAGAAAGGACGAATCAATATTGAGAAGATATTACACTATTTTGAAATCTGAAAATAATGGACGTGAAATTTTAAGTTTTTAACAGTAGGGACACCTACGTTGTAGGCATCTTCATCATTCTTTCGAAGTAATCAAATATCTGATGTCACTTCTGTCAGTCTAATTCTGTGATTTGATTTCAAAAAATTGCGAATTTAGTGGTTGTTCAGTATTATACGTAACCGCGAAGTCGAATGGGAGATAAAAGGACTTGCAGTTCTTTCTCGGAGACGGTATTATTGACTCATTTTTCGGAACTATAGCACAACAAAAGTCATCAACATTGTATATATATGTGATATATATCCAGGAAAAAAGAACTCACTCTTTTCCACGGGAAAAAGTAATTTATGGAAAGTGACATTTTATAACCTGCCAACAGAGATGAAATGCCAAACTTTTTTCCCGTCATAGAAAAAAGATTCATATTAGTTTATTGCAGACTACTGATGAAAGAAATATAAAATTCGGGTTTGAGTTTAAACTATATATAAATAAAATATAAATTAAATGTAAATTAAATAAATTATTTCTATGAACAAACCAATGAACTTTGTTCTATTTATAAATTACTTAATGTTAGTTACGTTGTTTTCGATTTTTTGTGCGAATGCTGAACGCCGTTTTTCTTTACGCCGTTTTTGGCGAATTCCGTGACGGGGGATTTTTTGGCGTAGGTCTTCTTGTAGAAATCGGCGAACATCTTGAAGATGACTATCACGTTGGGCAGGTAGATCAACAGGAATTGTCTGGGCACTTTGCAGCCTGGCTGCAGAGCTGTCAGAGCGTGCATTATCAGCAGTACAAATTGTATCTGAAAACAAATTGTGTATCACGAAAAATGAAACATTTTTTTGATTATTCCTCTCATTTCAAAATACTCGTTTCTGATTTGTTGGAATATCTGTGTTGATAATCGAAAACATGGTGTTTTCGTTTTTGTGTTTCGGATGTAGATTGGCTGCTAGATACCAGAATATGCTGTGTTTTCGATTTTGTATTTCGTTTTCTCATTGGTAGTTTGATAAAAATATAAAACAAAATCACTCACACGGCAGCAAGCTATCATGGACATCGATGTCATAATATTTTCATATTCACATTCAGGAATCAATAGCACTCAATACTAAACTTCAGACAAAATCGTCATAGGCACTTAATTTTGATTTATGTCGAATACTTTGTATGTATATTCGCATTCTGAAGAAACATTTTTTATATCAACATCAACCTAACCTCTCGAGTCTAAGCGTTACTGCATGCTCCGTGGGTGACGTCACTTAGTGAGGCCTAACCAGCGGCTCGAAACGACAAGCGCTTATAGCGCTATTAGGCGACCGCGTATTTCGATTTTAGTTTTAGATCATCATTGAGCCGATTTTGCTGTTTTTTGAAGGGCTTCCGGTTAAAAAAGGATGCCAGTCGTCAAATGAGCCCTTCTTCGCACCCCATTCGATTTTAATATGGAAAATCGAAGTTTTAAAGCAAAAACCAGGATAAAACACAAATATCCACCTACAGCAACCCATTCGAATTAAATATATTGGCAAAAATTGTGGTGAAGGTAAACTTCACTCCTACTTATACAGGGCCCGCAGAACATGAACTTATCGTGAGATTGATCTAAAGAAAATTGTGGAAAATGTATTTTATTTTGATTGACATGCCGTTTGTTACAATTTCCTATATTTATCTTGGAGAATTCCTATTGCCTGAAAAAATAACCAGTGAGTGTTTTCAATTTTCTGTTGTTGGATTTTTCACCCAAGTGGATCGTTACACTTGAAACCGTATTTTTTTTGAAAATTTTTTTCGGTACTCACGTATTTTTGTCTGATAAACCGAATTTCATAATGAAAATGTGAACAAACCACTATTTATTGAGATATTTCAAGAAAAATTTCGAAATGTCGCCTTCTTTCTCCCCTTGTGTTGGGGGCATTTGAAGCTACTTGCTCTTATTTTGTCATTGGACACTTTATATACTCATGATGTACTTCGATGGCACATTTTTATATAGAAAATTCAACAGGAAATATGATCTTTATGGCGAGTTTTTCATATTTAGTGAACAAGCATTCCAGATGACGACCATTCAATCAATAGTCAATCAAAATACGAGATGTCAAATGTCAATAGATTGCTTTCGAATGACATTACACACGCCATTATTTTGAATGATATTCTTCCTTCTTTTCACTAAATATGGATTCATCTCAAGAAAATCATATTTATAGTTGAATTATATATAAATTGTCCAATATGATGAAAAAAGAAGGGAAATTTGTTCTAAATGCCATCCAGAAGACAGGTGAAAAAGAAGGTGAAATTTGGAACTTTTTAGTCAAATATCTTCATGATAAATATCATTATAAATGCAGTTTTACCTTTTTAAGTAGAGTGTTTGTAGTTCATGTTAATATGATAGTTGCAATTTGATCATTGGAATGAATTCTGCATTCATTGCCACGAGGCAAATGACCGTTTTCAGAAAGAAATTTGAGAATGAGAATTAAAAATGCCCGTTTATTATGAACATTCAAGAAAATTTCCTCGAATTCAGAGATGATTTTGACTATAATATACGAATACAAAACTAACTGCACAATCAAAGCTTTTCTATTTTTCCTCTACTTATACTTTTTATGAGAGAGTAATTGTCTTCTATTATCAATTCATCATTATAAATTAAGCTCTGTTTACTACTGAACTTAGATGGAGTAAAATCCTCGCGGTGAATTGCTTATACCCACATTTTCGATAGCTCCTCGTCCAACGGGAAACTAAAAGCATGAACTTTTGAACCACCCACATAATTCCCCCGACAAAAGGGAACACAACACTTGAAAGGCATTGATTTTTCCGCCAATTATTTTGATGAATAAACAACAAAAGAATTCGGGACCGTTTCAAAAACATACGTGAATCACCGATGAATTAACACGAACTGACGCGTTAGTCGACAAGCGATAAAATAAAACACTGGCCTCTCTTGGTGACGTCACGAGCTGTTTACGTCAGAGTCTGCTGGCCTTGTTGTATCGGTAACGGTCTAAGTCGCTAACCTAATCTTGACTTCTATCCACAGTTACAACTTGACAGTAGCGTATAGAAACAGGATGCATCAAATATTGCGAGCAAGCCGTGCGGTAATACAGACAATTTCCAGCCTCTGAAGAGACGCTTGACAATATTTGGTGCGTCCTGTCTATAGTTGCTATCAATGTATCTTAGTTACATAACGGGCCGACTGCAAATGAAAATATGACATGAAATTATTCAAAGAAAAAACAAAATAACACCAAGTCGGTCGACCACAAAATTTTATTACACAAATTGTATTGTTTTTGACTAGTTTCGGTTCAAACAGCCATTTTCAGAGACATCGTTCCTAGGTACGCACGATGTACTTCGAACATTATATGGATTCCCTTTCATGCGTTGTTTCGTTTATTGTTTTCATTGATTGATTCCTCCATATTTCCCTAGACACGACGTTCCGATTTAAAATTTCAACACTTTCAATAGTTGGTGATCGTCTACTTGTCATCAGGTGATGGTGGGCAATCTCGAAAGTTTAGATTAGAATAATTTAGTTATCTTCAAGGTTTGGTTTAGAACACTTTGATTGGTTATAATATAGAACAACGCTACCCGACTGCCGGGATATTCAGACAATATTGGTATTCTTAAACTAGTTTCTTACCATTTGGGCCATTGTCAATTTTGGCTTCCAAGGTGCTAGTGCCTTCTGCCATCCTGGTCCCAGGGAAGAGAGGTAATAGTAGGTGTACATGAGAACATGGATGAATGAGTTTACCATTATGGGCATCGAAGCCATACCACCTGAAAAAAGAATTGAGAATATATTATTGGTGGTCCAATTACTTCGTTGCTTTCCTTTAATCATTTTCGTAAAAATTGTTCATTGGGATATCATTATTATTGAACTGCTAAAGATTTGCACACAATTGAGAATCTCTAGACTAAGGTCTAATTTTCTCTGTTACGGATATAATGTTAATGTCGGTGAAACCAGAACAGTACGGGTAACTCCATATAAATAAATTTCACAGGAGATCATTGGAACATGCCAGACAAGGAATAAGTAATGAAAATATGAGAACGAAGGAATATGCTTCCACCCGTCTTCAGTCTCATATCTACAGAATATTAGCAGTTTAAAGTTATTGATGACCGTTTTATTATATATTCCACACTCTTCACAAGCACCATATTCCCGGTACGGAGTTACACGGTTACACTTCGTCAAACAAATAGATATGAATTCGATCCATCAGATGTTGAAATCTCAATTTCAGGAAAAAGTGGAGTTACACATATTTCTGGTTTCATCGAGGGGTAAACCGCGGTGGAATTCTGGTCTGGTGTACAAACAACTGGAACTTCTTGGAATTTTCTGGAACTTCTTGGATTTCCTTGGAACTCCTTGGAATTCTTTGGATTCCTTTGGATCTCATTGGAATTCCCTGGGATTCATTGGGTGAAGTGCGGTATATCCCTGGTCTACAAACAACTGGAATATCTTGGATTTCCTTGAAATTCTTTGGATTTCCTTGGAATTTCTTGGATTTTCGTGGAATTCCTTGGATTTTCTTGGAATTCCTTGGAGTTTCTTGGAATTTCTAGTGTGAAGTGCGGTATAATTCTGGTGTACAAACAACTGGAATTCCTTGTGAAATTGAAATTTGGTGTACACAATTTTGACCGCCGTTTACCCCTCGGGTTTCATCGACTTTATACCAAATGCAGTGTCATTTCAACAGAAATATGATCTAATTGAATGCATTCCTAAATTTGGGTCAACTTCTACAGGGTGTCCGAAAAGGTTTTGACTACCTATTCAAAAAATATATCGCTCATTCAGTTCAAACATAATTTATTTGTTGAAAATCATTCAATCGAGATGCTGTGCGGTCATATCGAAAAATTGTGACATCAATTATCCTCTCAGAAGTCTCGACTTATCTGTCATTGATTTTTTGGCGGAGGTTCCTTCAATCATCGGTGTAAACTGAAATGTCTGCAATTCTGAATCAGTTGAAGCAAAGAATTCGCGATGAAATTTGAGCAATATTCCAGAACAATCTTCGATATAACAACTCTGTGTCTGCGTGTTTGCCGAATTCACAGAACGTTTTTTTTATGTTCTGGTTCCCACGAAAAGGGATATCCTGTAATGTTCAGAGAACATCGTGAGAACCATGGGAAATCAGGTAGAAATTGGTGTTCTTCTTGAATATCTGGAGGTTATATGCCTCGGGGAACACCTCCCTTGGCTCCCTTGGCAATGTGTTCCAGAGCCTTGCTGTTCGTTGGATAAACGAGTCTTTGGAAAGAGATGTTCTGCAGGTCTCCAAAGTGACCACGAAAGGGTGCGAAGCCTCAACTCGACGGGTTAATCTCGCGGAGACTGCCAATGGAGGAAAAATTGTTGATATTTCGGGACAATATCTATAAAATAGGTCCAGATCGCCAACTTGTCTACGGTGTTCCAGAGAAGTGAGTGAGTTTGTGAGCGAGGCATCACCCACGAGACGAATTGCCCTTTTTTGGACAGAATCCAACAGTTTCAGGGTATGTTTGGGTACTGCACTCCAAATATGAGAACAGTATTCCAGGACAGGTCGGATCTGTGCCTTATAGATCATAAGCAGCTGACTGGAAGTGAAATAGCTCCTGGCCCGAAACAAAAAACCAAGTTTGTGGGATGCACTTTTAGCAATTGATCTCACGTGATTTTCCTAAGAAAGGTTATTGCTGATAGTAATACCAAGCAAGGTATGTTTACTCCTGACAAGCTTATGTTGGGCACAGTGAGATCGGCTTTCTTAGAGAAAAGACATGCTTGTGTCAAATGATTTTTAACAAATAAATGTCCACATGGTGTAGTTAATTTTATGAATAAAATAGTTATTTTTGTATCTAGAGCGCGAAATGCTACTTTGGTGATCTAGATCTGATTTTTCGATATAACGAGGCGTAGCCGAGTTAAAAAAATAGTCGAGATGACCAAAGTATTTCGTGCTCGAGTTGCAAACAACATTTTTTCTACAAACGTCAAAAAATATAGTTCCAAAGTAAGAATATGCTCAGCTTGATATAAAAAATAGTGATGAACTGGTTTAAAAGGCCTCCTCCTATCCTCCCTATATAGGTACGCACGATGTTCCACGAGCATAATAGGAATTTCCTTCCGTGCGCTCTAAGAGGTAAAACGAAGCTATTGTTGAACATTCAGAAATAAATGATTTCGTGAATGTATGCCCGATTGAAGACCATTAAGTTGAAATATAAATATCTCATATATTTTACAAAACAATGCGCGAAGTAGGTATATACTTCGCGCACTGTTTTACTTCGCGCATTGTTTTGTGCAAGGTATCATGGTAACGTAGGAAACTGAAAAAAGTGTCACTTCGCAATTTGTTATCAATGCGCGAATCTTGTCATTTTTTGACGTTAGTAGAAAAAATGTGTTCTACATTCAAAACTGAATGAGTAACAACTTTTTCTCGAATTTTTTCAAATAGTGAAAACCTTTTCGGATACCCTACCCTGTATTCCATTTGAAGGGTCCGTTTCTTACCGCCAATGAATTTGCATCCGATGTAGGTGAGAAAAAATGTCGAGGCATGGTGGTAGAGATGCAGTCCTGAAACTTGATTGAATTTTTTCCTCAGTACGAAGAAAACCGTTTCAATCAGTTCGACCATTTTCAGGAAATATACCAAGTAGAAAGCGCTGACCATTTTGACAGCGTTCGGGTTGTCGGAATAGTCGATGGGCGCACAAGTATAACTGTATTCGCCTTGGTACCATCCTGCTGTGAATACCTGTAAAAACGAAAAACACTTCAACTTTTTGTTCCCAGGAAGAGAAATTACTATTAGAAGGAAAGCTGGCTGTAAATTTCGACTTTCATCTGATAACAAAATGACATATTATGTACCAAATGTGCCAATCACTATCCTGAGCAAAATGATTGAAAAAATGCACTTTCCTGTGCGGTAATTTGCACTCAATTTCGCGATTTGATAACGAGATGACAAATGTACCATTGGATAATCTAGTTTATCAGATATTATTTCTCGACCAAGGATTTCACTCAGATTTAGGGGTGGCACCGACAAGGTTTTGATATCTACCATTCAATTGGTATAGTGTCACAAATGATAAGATATTCTGAGTCAAATTCCAAAAATTCTTCTAAAAATCATATTGGATCGAAGTCATTGAACGTTCACGTATCTGTTTATTATTTCCAAAATTATTGAACCACGACCTTTCGATTAATAGTTGAACCTAAACACAGGCGTGACAATGACTTCAAACCATCCACCTGACTTCCTCACTGTCACGTTTCCAAAATATAGATTAAATATATAAAAGGCGTGAGGAAGCCAGCACAGGGATCATTCCAATCAGTTTCGATCATTTCGATCATTTCGATCATTTCGATCATTTTCGATCATTCGATCAGTTTCATCATTTGCCACTGTGCCCGAACCGTCGGAGTTCGGGCAGAACAGAAGATGCCCTTCCTCTGAAGTCCCAGCAATATTAGCTTTTAATGTACATATAGGGTAAGTTAAGTTTTTATTTATTGTTAATCAGAAACCAAAGAATAAATGTGTGTATATGTTTTGTTGAAAACCTTTTGGAGTATTCTTTAATATTATCACTTTCAAAGTTCATTCTCTATTGACAAAAAGAACAAAACTTAGGCAACCCCCGCCTACAGTTTATGATAATAGTATGGCGCGAAACTGAGTGCTTACCTTACTTGGCCTAAATGAAAAGAACATTTTTCGGAGAAGCACTTGAGAAATCGAAATTAAAAAATAAGCCGACCGTCAGAGGAATTGAACCTGTATCGCCAGCGTGGAATTCGAACGTACAACAACTGATCCACGGATATACTTGAAAATTATAGTATGAAGAAATCACTTATTGATAGTATTATATGATGAATTGCCTTCATCATACAGGCCGTGCAAAGAAATTCTGAATTGAGAGAACCCAATCACTATTCTGAGATTATTCCTTTCCAAGAAAGAATTTGGTCAACACAAGCAGTTGCCTTCACATGCGGAGTATTTGTTGCACTGTGTCTATAGACGCTTGTCAACACGCAGGCGTTTCCTTCGGATTGTTCTGATTGGTCTATAGGAATCAAGGATTATACGACTATATATAAAAATCTCGTGTGCATATGTTTGGGCAAAACGGATATTACATTTGAATTCCAAAACCGGTAACTTACAAACATCGTCAAGTGTTGTAACCCCTGATATAAGTTGGCATTTATGGCTTTAGGAGTCAAGTCATAATTTTTGTCGTTTACTCAGCCGAAAAGATACATATAACGATGAAGATGGAAAGCCCTAATTTCGAGTGACAATGGAAAATGGAAAAACTCCACCGCCCCGTGTGAGAGTCAAACTCACAACCTCTGGGTTACATGCCCATCGCTTTTCCCAACATTTCCGTATACAAGGAAAGACAATGCCAGAGGACGAACGGGGAAATATGGAGACTGTATAGTACCATCCTGCCAGCGATGCTTCGCATAGTGCATGATTTCGAGTGACTTCGGGAATTGGAAGGATTCTATGTCGCTTGGTGTTTGATGAGAACTCTACCTCCCTGCCGATTGATCAACGGATGACCCGCCAATTCTTGAAATAACAATGATTTATTCCCACTTGCTGTCGAGTACTGAGCCAAGCAACTAAAAACTAATACCCACACATATACTAGTCGTCGAAATAACAATTAACAAAATACATTTCCAACTGGTGGCACTATGGACGCCATTTCAACACACAAGCCGGACTTGCGAGGTCTCAACCATCGATTGATATATTGAATAGCAACTAAATCGTCGATGACTTACCTAATACCAGAACTGACGTTGACACTCTCGGTTTTAACACAAAAGGCCAGTCACTATTCAAAGGCTATTATTTTTTTTAGTATACTCTTATCTTATTACTCGAATAACATTCAACGCCGGAACATCTCGCCTTCTTCTACTCAAGACTCTCGCGCCTAACAGGTGTCTAGATGCCGAAACAATGATGAATAATATTTCCCAATTAGGTCGCGTACGCCACCTATTAATAAATAGATTGAGACCCGAAACAGGGAAGAGTTCGCGACTGCTGCAAATAATTGCCGATCATAATGATATTGAGGTGTATATAGGACTTGCACCACCCAATTCACCTAGAGGGAACTACTAGTATTTTGGTTCAACCCATAGGTTGTGAGTTCGACTCTCACACGGGGCGGTGGAGTTTTTTCATTTTCCATTGTCACTCGAAATTAGGGCTTTCCATCTTCATCATTATATTTATGGATTTTCCTAAATTTGACACTCGCCAATCTTGTCATATCAATGTGTGTTATTATTTTTGTTCGGACTATCGAGTATCATTTTTGGAATCAGCATTCAAAGTACGAGGATCAATCTGTTCATGTTTTTCAATCTGTTATGTGTAGCAGCAATAGGAGCTTTCGCAAATCGGAAACGACGTCAGTTCAAGATGGGGCCTCTGAATAGGCATTGAAAATCTAAAGGTTTCTTTCAAGGTATATACCTTCATTTCAATGAGAACAATCCCCAACCCCAACAGTTTCTCAAATATACTCCTATATGGATTTGAATATTTGCAACCATCTGCTCCAGATTTTTCACCCACCACATATCAAAAAGCAACAAATAGGTATCTTACATGATCCCCCCAGAAGAACAGTTCGCATCAATTACTTCATCATCAATAAATGAATAAAATGAAGTTACCAGATATATTTATAATCCGTACAATTTCCGTGCAATCTCCTTCTTCCAGTCACCTCAATTGATGGCATTGTTATTTTTCTGATACTTGTTTGATTAACTTATATAAAATGGAATAATATTATCGATGAGGCTTCTCAGGACTCCTTAATCAATATGGTATGTGTAACAATTATAAAATATCATTAATCAATTCCTAATGTAAATCAAACAATAAACCCAACCTCCCTTCTGCATGACTTTCTGTCACCGTTCCACAACGCGAACATAGAAATATCGAAAAGGGTATAAGGTATAACCATGTATAACTCTGCAGTCACAGTGTTTTTTTGCGAAACTATATTCTCTATAAACAGTACTGGGAAAATCATATGTTTTATCTTCTTTCGGTAACGGAAGTACTTGCGTTACGTTACGTTATTGAATCTATTAATCAGGGGTAAGAAAGCTTAGAGTCTGTGGGACGGGGCTGTTATTCTTGAAAAATCCCCGATAAAAATGCCATTCTTACCTTGTATATAATTACTATACATGAAATAATCTGGAATATATTGTAAATCCTTATGATTTTCGTCAGTTTGAATGGTTTCCTATCTTTCATGTAGGCCGGTAAAATCCACATCACCGTCACTAAGTAAAGTGCTATGATGATGAGTGTTGGGAAAGGGCTGCCCAATAGGAACCAGTTCCGTACCCTTGGATCTAGAAGAAAGGAAGTATATTCATTAGATAAAACATGAATCAACATTATGTCTACCCACAAATTCTTATACAGGGTGTTTCAAATACGAAGGTGGTTGAATTGGGGCAAAGTTGTGTATTCAACTATAACTAACAAAATGCCGTTCACTACAACATGATAGTGCTTTCAGTTTGTGCTAACACCATCATCGACTTAATTTTCTTCAGAACTTTACAATATGCATACCCAGTATTTATACCTACCTAATTTTGACATTGTCAAGCAAGCTGATGGTTGTGGTCTATAGCAATACATTCAATAAACAAGCTGAATTGTCATTCTCTGACTGAAAAGTAAAAATTAGTGATAAAATAATAGCGAGACGGAATCGGATAAAGAAGACGTTTATGAAATACCGGATAAAGAAGACGTTTATGAAATACCTAGCTGGCGGTAAAGTGAACTTTACGGCCAGCTAGTGCATAGTATATTACACACCGAGGTGAGAAGTGATTCATTCCTGTCGTGAGATTAGTTAGTTAACCGAGACGAAAAACGTCGAGGTTAGCTATAATTCCGAGACAGGAATGAAACTTCCTACCGAGGTTTGTATACTATTTTATTTACAACCATCATATTTCGATCGAAATTAATAAATCCCAGTTTCGTCCTGAACATACCTAAAATATTACATAAGTGAGGGCGGGAAGTGAAGGCGGGAAGTAAAGGTGTGTAATGTGACACTTCCCAACCTTCAATGACGTTAGTTATGACAACATTACATATATAGTTGTAAATAATAGTATATTATGTCAAGTGTTATAAACGTCCTTTTAGTAACGAGTATTTTAGGCACGAGCGGAGCAGAGCGGAGCGAGTGTTTAATAAACGAGTGTCTAGAAGAGTTTATAAACGCGTTACATACTATGATTTTTCCACGAACTCCGAAAATTACATTGACATACCTGCAATTCCTGCTTACCTACAAATCAATTCGAAAGGAATAAGTGATATTGGTTGTAGATGTGTCCAGTTCATTGCTTACTAACCTTCATTTCACGTTTATTGTCATGCTTAGAGCAGAATAAATAAATTGTCCTCAAAGTTGGATGCTTCATTTTCACACTTCTTGAGATATGCAAGTACCAGAACATTCCCTTCGATTTCATTTTCGTCTACATTTGGCATATATTTTTAATGAAGAATTCTGATACAAACGAATATTGTTTGAAAAATTCTGATACAAAATTTGATAATAACAGTTGACAGTTAATACAATTGACAAGCCAGACATGTCTCAAATTACCGAAGCTGTGTTTAATGAACTGCGTTGCCATGGTGATGTGTTTAAGAAATCGTGTTGCCATGGTAACGCGTGTTTAATATCTCGAATAAATCACAGATTGACAATTCGTGATTAATCGATCATTTAGTGTGGTACATATTCGTACGCTAAATGTCATCTTAGTTATGTGAGTAGAAATTTTTTTTTGTCTAATTAGTTAAAAAAGTTATTTCAAAAAATTGATCATGTTTTTCAATTTTATTAAAAAATGATTTTTCTGGAAAACGGTCGACTTTAGAGGTTATGACCAAGAGTACCTTTATTGTGTAGAAAATATTGGCGGCTCAAAACTGTACTTTTTCCAGTGGCGTAGAAATTGTGGAGAAAAACACCCATACTACTCGTTCAATTTCTCCACCATTTATGACTTAGAAAAGCGAAATTCCGCACAAAACATAGCTTTTTATGAGTAGAAAATGCTTACGGAAGCTTTTTCTGTGCATGCGATACATGGTTCCAGATATATTCGCAAAAAACGTTTTTTATTTTTAAATTTCAATATGGTGCATTTTAGAGGGTATATCAATGGATACTTTTTTCATATTTTTGGACGAGCTATCACATCCTGAAGTATTGCGCATATAGTATGAAACACTCTGTATGATAATAATATAATGGAAAACGATGCTAATGAATATATCAGAAAATATAAACCATTCTGGCATTATCAACTACACAATATATATTTTTGCTGTTATTTATATAACCGACCTCATTATCTCACCGTTGTTGAGCATGATAAGACTATAGGTACCTACCATAAAACATGTTGCACGTTCACTCCACTGTCTTATACTTTCCACGGTACGTGAGATAATCAAATTGTTCATAAATGTTCTGAAACATAATTCTGACACTGAATTTACTGCAAAACTGCATCTTTACGAGATATTCCCCCAATTCTATTTAGACTGGTATTTTCTCCGAAACTCGGGATCTCATCTCCAAGTCACTCAACTTCCATCACCCTCTGTGCCGTATTAGCTTAATTTATTCCAGAAAATCAAGAAAGTGAACATTTATAAATTTAACGTTCATGATCAATATTTCTTGACAGATGACTTGAACTCTCGCGGAATCCTGTAAATAACTGACGAGTATAATATGGTACTGATGATGGCTTCATGATATACAAAACACGTAATTTGATCGATCTAGTACGTGTACGCGGCCATAGAGCAGGATACAACGTGAATTATAATAGTTTCTCCTTCATCACTTTTCATTGTCCAACATTAATTTCTTTTTCAATTCAGAAACTTGATAATGTTCTTGCGATTATTTTTAAATCTATATCTTCTTGGGAAATTAGTGAATTTTCCTATCAGAGAGCCTGAAAGAACGCAGTGATATTTTGGGGCCAATCATCTGAGTTGTCCTTACTACTCGTCTCGGATATTCATATCGTTATTTTATAGAAACGAGAGAAAATCCCAAAAAATCTGGAATAATGAATGTACCACCTCCTCGATTAACCTACAGGCAGTATTTGACTGTTGAATTTGTTGATTATAACAATAATAAGTCAACGAAATTTCAACATAACTAAAACCAAACTAACTATATAAAAAGCGTCACACTGTTAGATGCCTGCATCACATTTCCTCGTAGCTAATCTCAAAACTAATGGAATACTTTGGAATTCAGAGTAAATTGAATGTGATCAGCAGTGAATTACCAATCAACGAATCACCTAACACTACACTGCTTTCCTTGCACCATCTTGCACATAGGATCAATTCAAGGATTCTTTAGAGATCTGGCAACAGCGGAGTGATTCCCAGCCGTCAGAACTCCAACCTCCAACCAATCAATTTGCAAGAAGACACTGACATCACAGCTCAGTATCGTTTGAATTCACAGTCACAGGTATTGAAACAGCATTTTGAATATTAAATAATTCTTTTGTCGTTCGATTTTCTCGATAAATGTGTTAACTCCCCTTCATTATTATAGCGAAAAAGGGTCAAATTTTACGATATTGAAAAGGCCCATTGAGAATATAATAATCTACTGCTATGTCAAAACATTGACTGAGTTATCATGATAACGTCGATTCCATCAATGATATTCCTCACTGCAGCAAGAAGTATTCACGATGAAAAATCAAATTCACCAGTCGTGAAAAATGTTCGGGCGTTACTTGCTTTTATGGACCTAGACTCACATGATCGCTCGGTATCTTACACGCTGCGGTCCATGAAAGCCTACTTTACGCCCTTGATGAATGAATAACTCTCTTGTTTGCAGAATATCTCCTCGAATTATCTAATGATATTCCTTTAAAAAATATATGGATCATAATGAAACATTTTTCATCTTCAATCTCATTAATTTTTCATTGGCCTTGAGGGATCTTTCAGTAGAAGTTACAACGATGAAACCTCGTACCAATATTCGATGTGTGTTGATAATTATATCAACTCCTCAGATTTTGATACATGTAGAATCTTGAAATAAAAAATATCCAAATTTGCCATTGATTAACGAATTTTATGTGGAGGTATTTCAGCTATGCCTAAAACGAATAGGCGTGTCACTATTTCGAAAACAAAATGCCTTGTTGTCGTTTTTGAAATGTTGATCCTTTTCAACAAACAAAAGTGGGCCTTGAAGATTAGACGGGTTCCAAATTAGGAGGGTGTTGCGCGTTAAGACGCACACACTGTATATGTAGATATAAAAAAATTGCACACATGTAATTGTTGATTTTTTCGTTTATCACTCCATCTTATACCAATTAAATTACAAGCATAAACGAGATAGCTCTATTCGTCGAGAAAGCAATAACGTTGTCACTATAATGGTTAAGTACCTATTGAACCTTTATTTTACTTTGTCGAGAATTTCACTATCGACTGTTAATCTTACCAGACTTGTGTTCCCACAGATAATTGTAACAACTCACAGCCCGATCCATGTTGTAGAACGAACGATCAAGAAGTTGAAAATTATAACGAACACAAACAATACGTAGGTTATCCTCTCGGCTGGGTTGCTGTCAGGGCCGGAGTGACCACAGGGCACGGGGGGCAACTTCCCAGGAGCGAATTAGGAATTGGGGGCGAAAATTTTGCCAATAAGTATCATAAGCAAGAAAAAAGAGTATTTCTCTTCGAAAAGGGATATGCTGTAATGTTCAGAGAACATCGTGAGAACCAAGGGAAATAAAGTAGGAATTTATGTTCTTCTTGAATTTCTTTAGGTTATATGCCTCGGGAAAAACCTCCCTTGGCAATGTGTTCCAGAGCCTCGCTGTTCGTTGGATGAACGAATCTTTGGAAAGAGATGTTCTGCAGGTCTCCAAAGTGACCACGAAGGGGTGCGAAGCCTCAACTTGACGAGTCAATCTCGCGGGGACTGCCAAGGGAGGAACAATAATTATTGTTGATATTTCGGAAGAGCATCGTCCATGAAAATATCTATAAAATAGAGCCAGATCGCCAACTTTTCTACGGTGTTCCAGAGAAGTGAGTGAGTTTGTGAGCGAGGCATCACCCACGAGACCATGGACGTATAAAAAAGTTTGTTTATACGTCCATGCACGAGACGAATCATTGCCCTTCTATGGACAGAATCCAACTGTTTCAGGGTATGTTTGGGTGTTGCACTCCAAATATGGTAACAGTATTCCAGGACAGGTCGGATCTGTGCCTTATAGATCATAGGCAGCTG